CCCCAAAACCCCAAAACCCCAAAACCCCTTAGATGCTTATTAGTAGAAAATTTATGAAATTAAGAATTAAAATCTGCATTTTATAAGCAAAATAATCAAATTCAACTCAATTATCATGACTTCCTCTAGATAATGGGTTATTTTAGTTTTAGGCTTCTTTAATAGCTATTAATATGTTTGCAGGTATCATTTTCACAGATATTTTAGATCTCGCTAGGGTTTATGACAATGTTCTTATCAGATACCTTATGCTGAAATACCAAGTAACCAAGAGGAATAGAAGGAATATAGTGAACATTACTATCAAATTGTTGAATGCTGCTTCTAATACCTCATACAATGAGGCGTTTGCTAGTTTTTAAATCTTGTCTAGAGTTGGGCCCAGATAAGTCAGATAAGCACTTAGTAAAGTATCCAGACCTTTGTCATAGAGTAGAGCTTGAAGTTATTTAACAGTATTTCCTTTAGTATTAGTAAAGAATATATTTGCCTGCTCAATATCATGGTACATAGTATTGATAACTTGAGAGACTCCTAAATTCAATAGACCTGATTTAACTAAACTACAGTTGCCAACTAATTGTAAGCGCTCACTCTCATTCTCGGCATAATTTGAGGAGATCTCATTAGCGTAAAATTGGCAGAATTACTTTGAATCAACTTGATTAATGCTATTTTTAATTTTTTCATAAGATAGCTTTTAATCTTTCTTCAATGCTCTGATATCTTACTCCACCTTCTTGCATACCTCGAGAAGTTGACTCACTGAGTTCTCATCATTTTCTATGGTTTAATTTTTTACATATGTCTCCATCAAGAAGAAAAAGTTTCTAGCTACGCACGGCGATCTATTGGATACTATAGTAAGAATCTCAAAATCCTCTAGTGTTTGGTCATAGATCTTGCTAGCAAGTAAATAAGAGCCAACATACATACTACAAAGTATTACAGAGAAAATTATGATAATCGAGGCCATTTTTATTTTCCTTTGGAATGTATACTTGTTTAGAGTAATGATTTGAGATAATTTGTGTATTCTCTCAGCCTCTGTCTCAACTGCTGAAACTTCTTGTATCTAATCAAGATCATTATTATTTATACCATTTTGACGATTGATATCATCCTCAGACTCTGATTCATTAAACTTCCCCTTACCCTGCTTATTGCCTTGCTTTTACTTTTTGTTATTGTTATCATCATGATCAACAATATGAGAGAAATCTGCCTGGCTATCCTTTACTTTGTTTTTACCAGGCTAACCTCTTTTGCTATCATTATGATAATTTTCTTTTACTTCTTCCCTGTCATCGTCAAGCATGTCCTCATTGTAAATCATTTGACTTATGTATTTATTGGCTCTCGGATTACTTATAACACCTTTAGTTGGTTTATCATTTTTAGTAGCTTTAGTAAACGCCTTTTATGGTGATAGCTTCACACCTTTGTATTTCTTGCCCTTCTTTTCATTTAAGAAATCTGTAAGCTCCAGAAAATCTTTAAACTGCTAGATCTTATTTATCTGCTCTTCCTTCTATTCTTGTCTAATCTAAGTCCATGTTCTAATGCTTTCTCTTAGATTGTTATCAATGGTAAAGAGCATAGGCAGAATCATAATGCTCGCAATAATAACTACTGTTACACAGACAATAGTGAAAATCAGAATATTTTATTCACTCAGCACCCCAAAGTCTATTACTTCACTGGAAAACTATTCTTCAATCTTATCTGCTCTTTTCCTGATTGAATTTGCAAGGTTATTAACAATGAAAAATGTATTGATCTCATCATTTGTCAGTCGATAACTTCCAGTTTTGTTAGTACCATACTGTATTGCGAATATTGGTCTTTCAATCTTCAGAGTAGATATGTTTGAATATTGGTAAGAATCAGCTTTGCCAATTACTTCTTGACATCCACTCTAAAAGGAAGTTGTAAGATTGTATAGCATCCCTGCTTTAGACACCTCCTCTAAAAATAGATCATTATCGAAGAACAGTCCTTTGAGCTCACTGTCAAGTAACTATACTGCTCTGCCTAGGTTGTTTATTGTGAGTCTAAAATTCTCAACGTATATGCCAAGTTAACGCTATATCAAGTGATATTTCTCAATGCGAGCATATGTTAGATCTACTGGCTCATTACTATGAGTAAAAAGGTACAAGAATCTAAGCCTCACATTAGAAACATAGTATTAAATTCTAAATGCTTCTTCTACTGCTTATATGTCCTGCTTAAATGAAACTTTATCCACAATGTTGACAATTAAGAGTACGATAGCAGTGACTAGCATCACAAAGAAGAAAACATTCAAAGCCTTTTTTAATTTTAGAATTAGCGGTGGCATTCCTTTTAAAGATGTAATTTCTTTGATGTCTCTGATTAGCTAGAATTACTTGTCACTTCTTGAAGTTTAACTTGATGTTATTGATGACTATGAGCCAATATTGTTCTCTTCAGATTCATCATGTAGGCCAGTTTCACCTTTATGCGCAATTTAATCACTCACCATATCTTGTTTATGAGATAACTAAGATGATTTGAAATCTGTATTTAACTTCTGATGTGAGATTGCCATAGAAAGATTTATATCACTGCTAGTCGGAATAGCAAATACTTCGTAATATGTTTAATCTATATTCCCATAAGATTAGCATTTGATGTAAACCTTCATGTAAATTGGAATTGAGACTTCACTCATCAAGAGCCTTTTTGTGTCAGCTGGACTAAATATTATCGATCCAAATTTAAAGCTTTGTCCTTACAGTTAATCCTACTAAATGTCTAATGATTACTGGATCTCTATCAAATGTCTCTTATCTAACTGAAATTCCTGCCCATTTTGATAATCAGATACTCTATCAAAATCAAAGCCTTGGAATATCTGATGTAGACTTAAGCCATTATCAATCATTTTTTAGCCAATATTAAGTATTGTATGGCATTCCTCTGAAGCTGAGTCAATTCTTCCATAAGAATTTACCAGAAAAATGAATGCTTAGTGATACTGATGCTTTGTCTCATCAACTTCGAAATCTCTCATTTGCTTGATTAGTGTTATAAATCTTAAGTCATGCTTCAAGTCAATGTATGGAATGGATTTAATTTCTATTGGTATAACATGTCCTTATTTAGTTTTAATCCAGGATTAAACATTGATTTTAGAGCTAGTCTTTTCGTGTTGTTGAAGGTATGTCATAATTTTATCATCATGAAACTATGCAATTATGCTTGGCAACAGGTTTTTAACAACTGGGATATCTTCTATCTTGTGTCCAACCCATTAAAGAAACTTTTGATTAGCAAATGATATCTTATCCAAGCATTTAGGAGAGCATTGTACATTGAATAACAATTCTTGGCTTTTTATCTTATTTTCAATATTTTCCTCAATAATTTACCCCTTTTATTATTGCAACTTTATACTATTCAAAAGAGAAGTACCCTTAGAGTAGAGATTTTCTGCCTCCAATTCGAATCCCATAACCATATCACAAAATCTAGCTAAGACGAGTAGTAGTTCCGCATTTAAATACTTGCCTTCAATTTCTTAGTATTTAGTCCAAATAGTAATATAATCATGGCTGATTTTATCCATCATTTCAGTCATTGCAATTATTTTATAGTTTCTACTTGCACTCTGTTTCCAAAGATTGTCCACTACCTCAGTTACTCTTTAAACATCTATGATAAATTTTTGGAAACTTTACTCGAACTTTAGCTGATTTAATATAAATACCTTTTCTGAGTTTTTCTTATACTTTTCTTTCATGTTCATCTTATTAATTAAGAATTTCTTCAGATATGCCAAGATAAATTCTTATTTCATTGTTAATTTGATCAGAGACTGCTATAGCTACAATATCTTAAAGAAGGCTCTATAACTCTAATTCTTAAGAAAGATGTCTACGCAAATTTTCATGAATTGTAATTAAGTATCTATTTTTCCATTTTCCTCAATCTCAGAGTTAATTAATAGGATAACCATGCTCTATAGTTTCTAAAGCTATCTTTTTTCAAAGTCTCTTGGATTTTCATTTGACAACATTTCAAGATCCTCAAGGAATTATGACATATAGAATTCCTACTAGACAGCAGAAAATAAGCTTACATCTTAATATACTATATCTTCTTGGTAATTTTAAACGCTCATACCTTCGTTATTATTGCCTTCGCTGTCATTATTTTAAATTTATCTTATTGCTCTACTATTGACATTTTGAATTTCATGCAGCTTAAACTGGATGCAAAGACATTAACCCATATTGCATGTCTGCTTGTGCTGGATTATCCAAGATTAAAGTGATATCACCATATCTAATTTGCCTCGATTTGATAACCTAATAAGCTCTACTAATTGAATCTTAAAATCTTTCATAGATTTATGAGATTTCAAGAATGTTCTTTCTATCTGAGTAGTTCGAACCTTGTATATGCAAAATAAAAGTACGAACAAAGTAAATGAAAATACCAAATCAAAAGATACTTTTCCTTATTCCAAATGTAATATCCCCTTCAAGATCGCAAAGATATAGATGTATGATAAAGTTAATCCCTCTGCAACAATAGCTGTATCCACAAATAAACTGTAGTAGGGAATCTGAAATAGAACTAGTAGGAAACCAAACATTTGAAGGCAGCTAATGAAAATAAATAGAATGATATCTATAGTATTACTTTCATGATCAAATATCAACAATATACTGAAGGTAACATTTATAGCATATTTCATGAGATCTATTCCAGTACTTGGTTTGCTCCAGGGTATATTTTTGTTTGGAAAGAAACAAAATAGAAAAGTTTCAGTAAATAGGAATAGTGAAACTTGGATTACTAGTGAGAGAATTGAGAGCGCCAAATGATAAACTTGAATGAAATTTGAAAAGGAGTTTTAGATGCCCAATCTGAAGCACTAGAAGGTGATTACTTAGAGAGGTACCATAAGAAAGGTGTTATTAGCTTTAAGGCAAACAAGTAGTACTTTTCTAATCAAGCCTCGGAACAAATTAGAAACTTCACCTCTAGTAAAAATGATTATTATTAGCATTATGAGTATGAGCATCAAATAGCCTGTTGAAGCAAATACACAAAAGGAAATTGCCTCTTCATTTTAAAGAAATTAAACTCCTGAGCCCTTAACAAAGTAAAAGTTAAAAGCAATTCCATAGAGTCCTTTGATTACTGTGTCTAATATTATAAAGAATATGTATGGTATCGTAGTGATTATATTGCTATCAAGAAGTTCGATGCATGCTTCAAAGACAAGCTTCTACAAATCTCGAGTTCTCATCTTATTTAAATAATTGTAAGAATTAATTATAAGTAACGAGGTCTTACCTTTTAATTTAGAATTATTCAAATTTTTCAAATTATTACTGCTTGGGGTTTTGGGGTTTTGGGGTTTTGGGG